GTCTGGGAGTCCAGCGTGGCTTTGTGTGCCTGGTGGGGAGCAGAACACCTCTGGATCCAGCTGGAAACAAAATCCCAGCTTGCCCTGGGAGTGGGGAATGGCTGTGATGACTCAGAGAAGCTGCTTCTCATTCAATGACAGCTTTGAAGGGAAGCTGTGACTCACAGGCACATCCAAATTCTTTAAAGGAGTTGCCAACCCTGTGGAAGAGGGTGGTTCAACCATCTAAAATGTTCTGAGATTCCCAAAATTCCTGCAAGGAGATTTGTCACCAAGGGTTCGTGGAGAAGCTGGGCTGCCATGAAGTGGAAAGGATCTGAACAAAGAACTTACAGGGAGAGTTTTGTTGGCATCCATGTGAGGAATTTTGATGTTCCGGGAGGGTAAATGCCACGATCACCAAGTTTGCCAATGCCACAGCTTACTCAAAATGGTCAAAGTGAAAAGTTTCTGTGCAGAGGTGCAGCAGGTCCCATTATTCTGAGTGACTGGGGGTTAAAACAGCAGCTGCAGCTCATTATTGATAAAGAAAAAGTAATGGATATATGGAGAAGCAATTCCAGCTGTACACTGGCCATAATAGGCTCTAATTTAGCTATTACCATGCCAGGACTACCATGAGTAGTCCTTCAAAAACATCAGCTTGAGGCTCTGGGGAGGTCAAAAGGGCAATGAGAGCATTAGGAATTGTTAGGATGGGAATAAGTGGCAAAACAAAGGTGTTGTGCCAGGGCACTGCCCCTGGGAGCCTCCCTGCGTGTGATTCCCGTCCCTTCCATCTGAGAAAGGAGTGGTAATTTTAGAAAAAAGGAGGGAAGCAGAACAGGAAGGATGAGCAGGGCCATGGGAGAGCTCCTGGCAGCACAGGGAATAGCAGAGCAAGACTGTGAGGCTGGCAGGAGAGATGGCTGATGGGGATTTGGGACATTTCCAGCCTCATGGGCAGCGTGGAGAGGACTCACGAGCTGTCCTCATGTCACTGCTGCTCCAAGCACGTGAAGGACAGGTGTCAGGTGGCCTTATCAGGCCTAAAACAGATTTGTTTTAGATCTTCTGCAGGTCTAAAAGAAATAGAAGGAAGCGTTTTTCCTTCCATCAGATAATTAAACTGTGGGAGTCGCTGACCAGGATGTTGTGGGTATTCTTCCTAAGGGATAAATGGATTCAAAAAGCAATTAGGCAATTTCCTGGATGAAGATCTCTCTGAGGCCATTAAGCACTGGGATGTAAATACAGCTCTGTAAACACTTGTCCTGCTCCTGGTTCTCCTCCCCTGAGCACTTTCTGCAGATGACAGAGACAGGAGTCTGGGCCACAGGGCTTTGGCCAGAAGCATCTGCACTGTCTGTGCCACTGCAGTCACTAATGGCCCTGCTGACATCACAGGGGGTGAATTTGGGTCATCTTCTCCCATTTTCCAGCCGGGGGATGGAGGCACAGAGGAGCTGAAGGTTCTCAAAGGGTTTGTGTGAGCTGCCCTCTATTACCTGGTGCATTTCTAATGCCACAACCTCCTTTAAAGACAGCTGGAAACCGCTGGGAAAATGATGTTTGCCAAAGCCTTTGCCTCCAGCAGCTCTGGTGGGCACTGTTGTTATTCCCAGTGCTGTTGTTCCCAGTGCTGATTGTCCCCAATTTGCACAGAGCTCACCAACATGAAAATGAAACCAGCAATGACTTGCAGGGATTGTGCATCCACCTAATGAGGATCAGATGAGTTGTTCTCCCACCCCCAGAGCTTCTCCCACCTCGGAAGATTTATGTGGCTGAACGTGTTTGTTCTGATCAATGACTGTGCTGCAGACACGAATACAAATGTAAAAGAGAGATTAGACTTTTGATCCAAAGCCCACTAAAGGCAGCAGAAGGGCTCCTGATGCTCACAAAAAAAAAAAAAAAAAAAATCAAAAAAAAAAAAAAAAAAAAAAAAAAAAAAGGTTTTGGACGCAGTGAAAAAGATGAAATTTTTGGTCAGCTTCAGTGAACAAAGCACCTTGTTAGGCAGTGACAGATTTTATACAACCCACAGCTATTTATCAGTGAATGTATCATTGCTTTCACCTCTCCTAATGGGAGGATTAACATCTTTAAGGCAGGAATTCAGCACCACATCTGATTTGTTACACTTGCTTTTCACTCATCTTCGACATGACAAGAAACATGAAAAAACAGAAGCAAAGCTGCTATTTTTAGGTTGGTTTTTCCAATCCAGAAACTTGGCACTTAGAGGGAAAAGCAGGAGCAGGTATCTGGTGTGTGTTGCTGACCAGGAGAGTTTCAGCACCGGGGTACAGGAGTCTGAAAAAGCAGCGTTTATTAATCCTTCCATCCTCAGAGTCATTAAACTGAGCGTTCATTAAATTAGCATCGCTGGAAGCATCACAGAGCTGAGATAATTGTCCCAGCACTCAAAAACTCGCTCCTCCCACACCCTTTCCTCCACAAGGATGGAAAACCTTGGACCGGAGCTCCTGAAGGCTTAAGGTGGATGCGGGGATATTCAGGATTGTCCGAGGACTGAGTTAATTTTCTCCATTTTTAGTCCTATAAAAACCAGGCTCCTGATTCATCCGGGCTGCTGCTGTAATGATTGATGTGAGATTATCACACGGAGAGGATGATCTGGCCCAATTTGTGATAAAATCTCATGTTAAATAGCTGAAGTTCAGAGAAATGATGAGTTGTACCCAGGAAGCAGAGCAGCTCAGCCCGTGTGGAAAGAGATCAGGATTTGGGTTCCAGGGCTTGTGGATTAGGGGAATGGATTTGGGACAGCTGCCTGGGCTGCTCAGAGCATCCCTGAACTCCATCCCTGCCCAAGTTTTAAATCAGCAATCCCCCAAACATCCCCATCTCCCCACCAACAAGGCAGGGAACCAAATTGCCGTGGTTCAGGAGGAAAAGAGGGGAAGAGCAGATCTGGTTTGGGAGGGGAGCTGCCTGAGACAGGGTTTAAATCGGGATCTCTGGCTCTGCCGATCGCATCCCTGCCCTGCCTTTTCCCACCTCTGGATGCGACAATTCCCGCGGGGACAGCCACAAGGCATCGGGAATTCGGGAATTCATTGCTGCTCCCCGGGAAGGAAAAGCTGGAGCGGAGCATCCCGGGCTCCCTCTCTCCAGACTCCTCTCATTATCCCCTTGGGAAGCTCCCAGCGCTTCCAGGATAATTCCTTTGGTCCCTTCCTGCCCCGAAGGGATCCGCAGTGAAATCCCCGGCAATGCAATCCTGCTGGATGCTCATTCATCCCAACAGGAGGAAAGGCGGCTCCAAGGTCACCTCTGTGGTTTTCATGGGAATTCTTGGCTGAAATGGGATCGGGAAACCTCTTTAGATGCTGGGTGTGAAGACGGTCCAGCAGCACTGCTTGAGATGCAAGGACGTGGCTGTAATAACAAGAAACAGTGTTGGTTTTATGTTGGGACTCAACAATCTGAGCCTAAATGAGTTTGTAAATCTCTGGGCTTTGTTGATCCCTTCCAGCTCAGGATATTCTGTTATCCTACAAATATTTCCTCTGCATTTATCTTAATTTTTACCTCCTGAATGAATTCTGAGCTGAAAAAAAAAGAGAAAAAAAAAAGAATATTAATGACCAGAACCCTCTGGCTACTGGAGTGGGAATTCAGCCATAAACTTCAGCGAGGGCTGATGAGCTGCACAGGGAACTTCAGCCCCTTCTTTGCTCCTTAATTAATGTGTGTTAGCTCAGGGTAGCTGCTGGCAGAAGGGGTTTCATCCATTAATGACAAAGATGTTTCCCAAAGTAGGGTGCAAACAGGGAAGGACAACATTTCCCAGTAAAGTTTGCTGTCTTGGGAGATGGATTTGTATTGAATTTGTTTAGCACAAGTGCTGATTAGAAAAGGTGGAAAAAAGATTCAAACCCACTGTAGAAGGAGATTTATTTATAGCAGGGACTGCACAACACTGAAGATATCCTGGAATTCCAGACTGGTTTGGCTTGGAAGGATCTTAAAAATCCACTATCCCAGATTACCCCAAGCCCCATCCAGCCTGGCCTTGGACACTTCCAGGGATCCAGGGGCAGCCACAGCTTCTCTGGGCACCCTGTGCCAGGGTCTCATCACCCTCACAGGGAACAATTCCTCCCCAAATTCCCATCTACCTTTGTCCTCTGGCAGTGGGAAGCCATTCCCTGTGTCCTGTCCCTCCATCCCTTGTCCCCAGTCCCTCTCCAGCTCTCCTGGAGCCCCTTTAGGCTCTGCAAGGGGCTCTGAGCTCTCCCTGGATCCTTCTCTTCTCCAGGTGAACACCCCCAGCTCTCCCAGCCTTTTCTCAGAAAAATGCTGCACCTGCCTTGGGTGGGTTTTGTGCTGCTTTCTCTTCTCCCTGGGCTTGTGTGCAGAGACTCCAGGGCTGGATGTGCTCTTGGTGTTCCAGCTACAGCAGCCAACAGGAGAATAATCCTCTTTTTGAGTGGCTGCAACCTGCATTTGAAGCCTTGCCCGCACTGGGTGAGTGGTGGTTGTCCTTGCAACAGCAGGAAAGTTTTCAGGGAAGTGACTGTGGCTTCAAGAAGGATTTGTCAGGATTATTGTTCATCTGCTGCCCAATTTCAGGCTGCCAGCCCCCAAAATTCGCAGTGGCAGGTACCCAGCACCTCCACACAGCAGCTTTGTGGAGACTGAGTGAGCAGTCACAGCAAATGTGCCTTTTCTCTCTGGGATGTTGTCTCTTGCTGACAGGTTTCAGGTATCCTGCTGGGGCCACAGGAGCATGTGGAAAAGGCTGGGAATGACAGGGCCAGAACTTGGGACTGATCTCCTCCCCTTGCCTTCTGTATCTATTTATTCTGCAGGGTCTCGGGGCTGAGCTGTGAAATTTTGAACCCAAATTCCCTTTTTTTTTATTTCCCCTTCCCCAAATCCTCACAGAGCTGAGACAGAGATTGATTTTCCCGCTCAGGCTGTGCGAAGCAGCTGCTCTGAGGGTCCTGAGGCTGGATCCAGGTGTAACATTCCTGCTTCTGTCACAGGTGGACAGCGGGGGACCCCTGGTCTGCAGCTACTGGAGCACCATGAAGTGGTTCCAGGTCGGCATCATCAGTGGAGGAAAGCCAGACCACAGGGTTTTAACACCAGTTTGCAGCTACCAGGAGTGGATTGAGAAGGAAACAGCCATAAGGGGAAAACCTTTCTTCACTGAGGGTGTGGACTCTGGAGCACATCTCAGGGTCGCTCGTTCCAGGGCTGGACCACGGGTGGAGTTTCTGGAGTATTGTCTCCTTTTATTCATCTTTTTAATAGCAACTAAATTACCCTGAGAGAAGATATTTGAAAATAAAAGTCAGAACTGCCACTTCATCCTTTTTTTCTGAGGCCAGCCTGCTCCATGTCACTGATGTGGACACAGGCACCAACGGGAGATGTCACAATGAGAGGAGGAATGAGGCAGAGGGTGGAGAAATTAAATGAAGGAGGCAGGATTTGGGCAAGAAAGGCCAAAATCCTCTGGAAAACACAGATTTTCCAAACTGCTGGGGCACACTGGACTCAGTTGTTTGCTAAGCTCAGATGCCAAGTGAAGATGTGGCGTCTGGAGGTGCTGATCCCCTTGGAAAGTTGAAACCCAGAGGAAGAGATTCACTTACTCATTATCATTAATTGCTGTAGGGTGGCTCTGGGCTTTTGTTTCTTACAGCTAATTATTAGCTGGGCTAATTTATTTTAGTCTAATTTTAACTCATTTTATTTTTTACTAAGAGCACCCACAGAGAGCTCAGCCCCTGCTCAGGTACTGTCCAACTTCTGGGACAGAACAAATGAGGCACTGGAAGAGAATTCCCAGAGAAGCTGTGGCTTCCCCTGGATCCCTGGAAGTGTCCTGGATGGGGCTTGGATCAGCCTGGGATAGTGGGAGGTGTCCCTGGCCATGGCAGGGGTGGAACTGGATGAGCTTTAAGGTTCATTCCAACCCAAAGCATTTTAGGATTTTGTGGTGAGAGAAGTGTTTAGGGATTATCCAAAAAATGCTGCCTGCAAAAACTGATCAGTCTTATAAATAATCAAAATTAATTAATGCCTTGCAAGTCAATGGTAAAGCAAAAGGAAAGAGATTTTTTTTTCCTCTCTCTTAGAGGTGTTTTTTCCTACATTGCTGAGAGCTCCAGATCTCAACTCGACTCTGAGCTGGGACTGAGCTGGTCCTTCACATCCTTCCATCCTGCACATGGCCCTTTATTAACCTCCAGCATTCCAAATATATTCTGCTGTTCACAAGGAGGTTCCAGCTTTTCTTGGAAGTGATGGGGAAGGAGAGAGGCAGCAAAGTCCCCTTCTTGTCCCACCTTGGCATGAAAGCACCTGCAATTTGCAGCAATGATAAAACCCAGTGAATGTGCAATGGGACAGAACCTCACAAATTGGTTTTAATTACCTTGATATTTTCTGGCTAGCTGGCAGAGAAGCCTTGTAAATGAGAATTAATTCATCTACCTTAAGCTAATGCAAACCCATCTTGGCATAAAAGTCAGGCTTTATTTTCTGTGTTATCTGAGCAGAAAATAATGCTTAATTATTATTAGTTCTGAGTAATGCTTATGAAAATTGCTCCACATTAATTTCACATGGCTGACTGGCTAATGGATGCATAAGGGTCTTGTAACCCTTTGCAAAAAGACTAATAAGAGCTAAAAACAAGGGGAATATATTACTTTAACAGCTATTAGTAGCAGACAGTGTCTGCTGGCATTAATACCTATATTTATTTTCCTTTCTATTAATAATATATCAACAGATTCTGGAAGCCGTGGACATCAGGAAATATTTCCTAATGTTGCAATCTCTTCAGCTGCAGAATTGTTTCCCCCAGAGGAAATGAGAGAAGTCCTCCTGCTTAAATTATTTTAATGTAGGGGTTGTATAAAGCACTTTTGTCTGCAGCACATGGCAGGGAAAAAGCCTGGGCTTACAGGGGCCTGCAAAATGACCCAGTAGGTCTTCTCCATCAGAAGCATTTGCAAATTGATCATGGTCTGTGCTAAATGAAGGCAGGGCACTGCTGCTCTGGGCTTTGATTCATCCTGCTCTTTATTTATTCAATGGATTTGGGGATAAGTTTGTGCTTGGTGCCTCAATTTCCCTGCTTGTAAATTGAGAGCATGAAAGAGGCTCCCTTTCCCTATGTGGAGCATCACTTCTGCAAGTTCAGACCAGAAAAGAAATAAACAGGAAAAACCTTTTCCTCCTTATTTAAAACATCATAAACCTCAGTAAAGTGAATCCATCTTTGTTACTGTTCAATAATTAGGGTGAGAAAGGACACGTCTGTTTAACATTTCCAGGCTGTAATTAGGTCTGATGAAAACATCTTGATACTGTGTTTTGGTTTGTTTGGGTTTTTTTTTTTTCTGAGGGTATTTGGGTTTTCAGGGAGCATTCTGATTGTGGATTTGACAGGAATATGTTGAAATCACTCAAAATCAAAGTGCAGCTGCTCAATGGGACACTAATTTTTTTAGCTTTACAACACTGGTGTAAATGTTCATTGTGTTATTGTATTCTGCATTTGTAGAATCCCAAAATGGTTTGGGTTGGAAGGGACTTTAAAGATCATGGAATTCCACCCCCTGCCATGGGCAGGGACACCTTCCACTGTCCCTGTTTGCTCCAAGCCCCATCCAACCTGGCCTTGGACACTTCCAGGGATCCAGGGGCAGCCACAGCTTCTCTTTTGGGTTTAGAACATCAAAGTGAAGCATTTCCAGACCAAAGGGCCTCAGCATTTATGCTTCAGTCTGTAGTAGGCAAAGTTCACTTTTTAATGAACTCTTTAAAGATCACTTTTTAAAATGAACTTACAGCTCATTTCTTATTGCCCCTCCCCTTCTTTCCAGAGACAGATTTTGTTTGCAGCATTACACCTTTAGCAGCAAATAAACAGGATATGGAAATGCTTAGAGACCTGGGAAAACATCTGTAACAGGATTCAGGGGGAGGAAAAAAAAAAAATAGGAGGATATGAGTACTCAAGCAGAGAAAAGAGGTGGTCAGGAGCTGCTTGCACGTTTTGCTGAGGAGATGAGAAGAAAAGCTCCCGTGAGCACTGAAGGCAGCAATTTAAAAGCCAATACATCAAAGTAATTTTGGCTCAGTTCTGCAGAGATGAAGGGCTTTGTGTATCCACGTGTTTCCCTGGCTGCCCAATCCCAGCTGGCACTCGCACGCCAGCTGGAGCAGGGAGCTGGGAGAGGTGAGGATGATGATGTTCGTGGAAATTTGGCAGCAAGAGCTGGAGGTGAGAGGCTCCAAGCACAGTTGTGTGGCTCCACCTCAGAGATGGAAGGTGGGAAGAGCAGCAATCCCTGGTCACAGGTAACTGCTGCTGGGGAAATCCAACCTCTGCTCATCCTCCTGCTGGGAGGTGTCCCTGCCCATGGGATGAGCTTTAAGGTCCCTTCCAACCCCAAATTTTCCCTGATTCTGTGATTCCAGGGATGAGCCCAGACCTGTCACCCATCTCCTTCTCAGTACATGTCACCTGGGGGATCTGAAAACAAAACAGTTGTCCTTGTCAGGGACGGAGATTTCCCATTTTCTTCTTTCCCAGCCTGGATTTCTTCACAGGGGTAAGAAGCCCAATACAATAAATCATAATTCTTCACAATATTCTTCACAATCAAAAGCCCAGGTTTGTCTTCTCCTGCTCCCCTCAGCACCTCGAGCACCTCTTTGTCCCTCTGAGGAGAAGGACTGTGACCACTGCCATCCATTTGTCACCCCTTATGCACTGCATGGAGTGAAATGTGATTTTTATTGATAATAACGTAGGATTTGAGGTGGAGACTGGAGGCTGCACAGGATCAGAACCTATTCCCACGATTCCCAGTGCTTTCCCATGTGGCTTTCCTGCCATTCTTCAGAGTGAGAGCTCTGTTTATCCTTCTGTAAGCATGGGAATAATTAAAGAGCAGGGACATCCCTTGGGATGCACCACTGATGAGAGTGATTAATCACTGCTGTTAATTGAAGGTGGCTCTGGGACAGAAAACACCACTGACAGCATTGAACTCCTTGATTTGTTGAAAAAAAACAAACCTGGTGAACACTTCTGGTGTCAGGCTGGAGACACTCAGGGACAACTTCCACTATCCCAGGTGGCTCCAAGCCCTGTCCAAACTGGCCTGGAACACTTCCAGGGATCCAGGGGCAGCCCCAGCTTCTCTGGGCAACAAGAGGAGCAGCTTGGCCACCTCTGGGCAGAGCCTTCCCCTCCTTTATTATTCTGTCACTGGTCACTGCTCCTGGTGGTTAATAGGTTTGTAAAATGGGCAATCTGCAGCAAGTACAACACCCTGCAGCACCAGGAAACATCCTCTTTTTGGGTATTTCCAACTATCTGCCTCCCATGTCCTTTTCTGGGGGTTGTGCTGTGCTCTCTAACAATTCTTGTATTCACAACTGTCCCCCTGTGGCTCATTGCTCCAAGGGCTTTTCAATACGGAATTCCCTTTGTTCCCACAGGTCACACCACTAAAATGATTTGAGCATTTGGCCTCTCTGCTGCAAAGTTTGGGCTTCAACACAATGCTGGAATGTAAAATTTCTTCTTCCTTAAGGCTTTTGAACTTATACCACCTCTGCAGGCATGAGCAGCAATGTAAACAACTCCAGAGCTGCCCTGGGTGCCTTGGAAAATAAAGTGGGAGAAAAGATGGTTTAGGCAATGAGTGCAGACACAGGAGTGCAGCTCTGCAGCAACCCTTTGAGATCCTAGAAAAAAAATCTGGGAGTAGCCTTGGTCTGAACAGAATGATGGGGAAGGCCAAGGGGAAAATGGGAAGTGATTTATTAACTGTGAGCACGAGTTTACAAACAAACCCTGACACCCAGAAACACTGGGCCAGTGCTCCACATATTCCTCCATTCCAAGCTACACCAATAATTTGTCCTGTTTTGCAACTTTTAGCCAGAGAGTCGAGGTGAAAATGATGCTCTACAGAGCAGAGGGCTTTGTTAGAGTGGGAGGGGAGCCAGGAATGGGAACAGCTCCCCTGGGAATGGTCACATTCCCAAGGCTGCTCCATGAGTGTTTGGACAATGCTCTCAGGCACAGGGTGGGATTCTGGGGTCAGGATTTGGGCTTGATGGTCCTTGTGGGTCCCTTCCAATTTGGGAAATTGTGATTCTAGGAGTGGTGCAGGAGCTTAAGGGACATTTTGGGACACTCCAGTTGTCTGAGTGCCCCAGTCCCTGCTCAGCTCTGCTCACAGAGGAGTGGGAAGCTGGAGCTGGGATGTGTAGATTCCCAAAGTGTCTGTTCAGG